TGTGTGTGAGTGTGTGTGTGTGAGAGAGTGTGTGTGTGTGAGAGAGTGTGTGTGAGTGAGAGAGTGTGTGTGTGTGTGAGTGTGAGAGAGAGAGAGCGATAGAGTGAGTGTGAGAGTGTGTGTGTGTGTGTGTGTGGCGGCGCGTGATGTCTCAGTAGTGTTGTCCAGGAAGGCAGCACACTAGGTTTTGAGACGCAGCCGCAGACATTTAAACATCAAACAGGCCGCTCCGGTGCGGGACAGCGAGTCGTTATAGAAGAAAACAAACATCCACTGATTATTAAAACCATCCCTCCGGTAACCGGTCAGTCGCTGCTGGTGGGGTTAGTATGGACTGAGGCTGGACGGGTGTCGTCGGGGGGCGCCGGTGAAGCAGGAAAAACACCCGAAACGAACAGACGAGACCGAGAGAGAGCTCCGCGGACAGACGCCCGGTGTTCGGTGAGTGATGCTTGCGAAGCCGCGCGGTTCTCTAAGCGTGACACCGACTGAAACCCGCGCGAATGTCCGTAGACGCGCGTCTGACGTGTTTATCCGCCCCTGTGAAGCCGGGTTGTGTGTAAAAAATGGCTGCTGACGCTCGCACACACTCCGCCGGTGAAACACGGCCTGCTCTGGGCTCCCGCTCGCGGTAAGGCTGCCTGGCGGTGCTCGGTGCTCCGGTTTAACGGGTGTGACAGGATTCACAGGCGCGTCGAGGCGTTTAGCGGGCGGTGGACGCGCCATTAATGAGGTGGAGCAGCGGTTAGCTAGCACGTTAGCACCGAGGCTAACAGGCCTCAATCACACACACACACACACACACAGATTCAAACTCTAATCGTTGTGAAACGCTCTTTCACGCGGGTGTTTGAGCGTGTCCGCGTTTGTTTGTTCGGTGTCTGTGCGGGGATATGAACGTGATGCTAATGCTAACGTCAGAAACCGGCCTCTGGGCCATAAAAGTGATTCTTTACATTAAACTGCTAATAATGCAGGTCGTTTACCGCGACTGGCACTGAAATGAGAGCATGTAGGAATACTATGTCTGTAAACAGATGTGTGTGTGAGAGAGTGTGTGTGTGTAAACAGATGTGTGTCTGTAAACAGATGTGTGTGTGTGAGTGTGTGCGTGCGTGAGAGAGAGAGTGTGTGTGTGTGTGAGTGTGAGTGTGTGT